ATATTTTATTTCCTTTCCAAGTACTCAACCATGCAAAGGTGACTGAATCCACATGTGTATTATGCTCCGTGGTGGCTTCACAGGCAATATGGGAACTGAATCTTCAGCCATTATCCAGACTCCAGCCCTGACCTTTAACGGAAAGGATAGGAATCTTTGGAGTCTCGCGGCTGCGTTACTTCACTCCAATAGAATCAAAGTCCACAGCCACCGAGCGTTTGTCTGATTCTTCAGGAACTAAAACAATATTGCCGTTCACACTTTGCTTATTTTGGCTCAGTTTTTTTTTTCCGTAAACTCACAGCCTACTTGTGTGTTCGTACGTTGCGTGGGACGTCTAATCCCCCCCCACCCCCCACCCCTGTCTGTGTCTGTTCTGTCTGTCCAGTCAACCCTTTCAAATCTGTATCCATCCATCCATCCATCCATCCTTCTGTCCCTGCATTCACTTACATAAAATGTCATTGTGTAAATATTTTGTTGTGGAGGGCAGAGCTCCCAGGCTAACGGGCCGGTGGCCGCCGTCCAATCTGCCGTGTTTGTTTGTACAGTTGAAACTGTTTGTCGTACGCCACTCCCTCTACTTCGATAACACTTTTTATCATTTTCTTTTCGTTCCAGCCCCCCTTTTTCGTTCTCATAGCCAAGATAGATAAGCCTGTTGTGCAGCGATGTGTATGCGCTTACACACACACACACACACACACAATAACATGTTTGTGTGTGTGGGAGTTGTCAAAGCTGTCAGCATGGTTTGAGTTGTTCTGGCCGACAGCCCTGGGTGTTGAACAACAGCCCGTTAGTCTCTAAAACAAACACACACAAATCAGGTCAGATCACGAGCACAAAATGGAAATGTCGTTTTGACCAGACTTCATTTCCTATTGATCAACAATTGATAATCTGTTTTCAATGAGCTGCTGGACGGGATGATTATCCTGCAGAGACCGCGGTGCCGTGCAGCATATTTCACACCTGTGTCATCATTCAGAACCAATCCATCTGCTGTAAACGCCATTGTCAGAAAAGTTGGCATTTAAAAAAATATATATAAAGGCGGAACAACTTAGAAATCTGTACACGTTTGTTGATCATAAACACAATAAAATGGCTCTCGTTGTTTTTTTTACAGTTTATTTTAACTTTTAGACAACAACAAGCCCTGAGTCATCATTTTCTTTTTTTCTATACTAAGAATCTTATAATTTACATGAGTAACAAGCACATATTGTTCAATTCAGGAAATTTCATGTATCTTAATCATTCATGATTCATCTCAAATTTCAAAGCCCCACCCCTCCAAAAAAATTGTTTTTGCTCTTGGTAAGATGTCAACATTTTTACTGGGAGTGTAGTTTCCTTATCAACACTTTTGTCCAATGACAACAACACACAGCATGACCTCAGACAGGAAGTGATCTAAACACGTCTGAAGACGATGTGTCACACTCTCTCAACTCCGTCCAAGTCCAGTGTTATGATACTTGGCATCGTGCAGTCTCCAGGTGGATTTAGGAGTGACATTCCTAGTGCACGGTTTATTCCTCCCCTAGCCCTCCGTCTCTATCATGCACAATAAGCAATCTGCAGATTTGTAATGGTTTGGCCCATTAATACAGGGCTCACTAAAGTATTTCATGCTTGTTTTAGATCTTTGCGCGCTACTTACAAAGGTCCATTGTGGTACGTTCTCCCCGCTACCCTTGTTTTTGTATGGACTCAGAACACCAGGACACGGGCGAGGGGAGAATAGAAGTATAGAGCTCCTCTCCGTCAGTTTCGTCTCACCCCCCTGCCCCCTCCCCTCCTGCCCCCCCGTTCCTCCTCTCCGGTGATCTCTGCATGCCTATTAATGTAGCAGAGGAATGCCTGTGTAAACATTCTTGTTTCTTAGTCAGTTTCGCATAATAGCCGCCTGTATCGCCTTTCTCCCGACCTCACTATCTGAAACCAATTACACCAGATCCATTTGGGCTGAATCTTATTTTCATAAGCATCCCCGTGACGTGGTTTTCGGTTGCTCTGTGTGTTATTCTCCCTCGTCTTATTTTCCTCCTCTTCTCCGACCTGAGTGATGAATATCAACATCAAATATGCCTCTGAGTGCCTTGTTATTTATATAGCAGGGTCCGGCTCTTTTCCTCTCTCCCTCTCTCTCTCCCTCTCTCTCCCTCTCATTCTGAAGAATGTGTCACATTGTGCTGTTTATACAATGTGTGCATTAATAGACCGGGGATGTCATTTTTCATGCATAGCAACCCAGGTTAAATAGACGCTGCCTCTGCACTCGTCTGTTTTTTTCATCCGCTCCGGCAGCTCTTCGGCAAACTTTTGATGACTTTTCTTGGCACTGGGTGCATTTTGTGCTCAGAGAATAGCTCCGGCTTGCCATCTGTGTGAAGTGGAGAGCCGGTGGCACAAATTGCTGCTTTTTAACTGTAATGGTCAGATGCTCTGGGGCCAATGAAACAGAGAGGAAACAGGAATATGTATGTTTTGGTTTTTTTTTTTCCTTCTTAAACGCAGAAAAACACAGGCGACCTAACTGCCAGAGACAAGGTGACAGTTTCAGACTTGACAAACCACTTTGGAAAAGTCTGACTGTCGTTAATGAGCTCTGTGTTGTGTTTGGAGCGGTGTGAGAAGTCCAAGTCGAGTGAGCAGACCTTTTTTTTTTTTTTTTCTAAAATAACCGAGGTGTAGTTGGTCTTTCAGATTTACTGCATCGCACAAGTGCAGTTTCCCAGCGTTTATTTTCTCTACGCTGACGACTGTGTGCATTATGTCTGAGGATGTCTTTTGACTTAGTGTATAATGAAGTGAGTCATTATTGATTCACACATGAATAAATATTTCCTCCAGTCATCTAACTTGGGCTGCTCTCATCAGGCAGTCATCCCTCTAACTACGGTGCGCAGGACTCAATAAGCCTTATAATTACTTTGATTCACCAATCACGCCGAGATTAATTAGCCGGTCCTTTAATTACCAAGTTGATCGGCTGCATTCATGAATTTGTTTTGTCTTTCGTGCCCAGTTAAGGCAGGGATGGCTAGCCTTTTAAACAAGAGGTAATTAAAATAACTTCCACATAAATAAAGTGCATTTCACAAAAATGTATTCACACAAAGATGTATCCATTGACCATATTAAATACACAGTACATTTATGTTCATTATAGCTGGAAAAAATTAGTTTATAAACCCCAGAAGAAAAAAGCTCCACATTAGCTTAAATGTAACAATAATAATAATAAAAAAAATACAAATAGCTCAAATAAATTCAACATTATAAAATTGGAAATTTACAGTAGCATGCTGATGCTAAAACAAAAGTCAACCAAAAATACTGTGTTTTATAATGTCAAATTATACTTTTGTTTAATACTTGAAAAAAAAAATTATAAAACAGGTTGCACGTGCCAGATTAAGCCCCCGAGCCAGACCTTGGACCTAAATGCATGCCTTATATGAATCTTAAAAGATTCTTCAAACACGTTTTAAAAGCTAAAGCTGTGTTTTATGTGTGTACTTTAACTCACATTAACTGTCCTGTGTGCTTTAAGGAGAAGGGCCACAGCTCAGTTTACAAGTTGTCACACACACACAGCACACACGTGCACACACACGTGCACACACACTCACACACGTGCTCATAAAACCTGGTGGCGACTGGATTCTTCTGAGCAGTGAGACGGATCAATGCAGTTAGGACCCAGTGCCAGTGTAATGTTTGTTTACTTCACTTCAGAAAGTCTGGCTCCTCCTGAGCAGCCAGACAGACAGATCCACCACCCCCCCCCCCCCCCCCCCCCCCCCATCATCCCCCCCATCCCTGTCTTTTCATAATTGATCAGGGGGTAGCTGTGTTCCCTGAGGGGTTAAGACGTGGCAACTTTTCTTTTCCTCCTTCCTCCACACGTTCTCTTTTTTGTTTTGTTTTTTTTTTTACTTGCTCCCTCTCTCCTGTCTTCTCCCTTGTATGCTCAGGATCTCGATGTTCTAGTTCAAACATTGTTCCCACCAGCTGGCAGAGCTGCGCCATACGCACGTCCTGTCAAGGCACTTGTTGTCATGGATACTGGCAAAATAACAATAATAATAATAATAATAAAACATTTCACAGGAAGTGTCACTCTCCACCTGAGTTTTGTTTTTCCTCCCTCCTCCTCGTCCTGTCCTTTCTTCATCAAACACACGGAGACCTGAAGTTTTTGTTTTTTATTTGTGTTTTTGTGTTTTCTCTGGGAAACCTTAGAATTTGGTTGGAATTGAAATAAGAGAAATACTTAACCTCTGTGATCACAGTTATGATCACCATTTTTAATTTTCTTGTTTAATCATATATGAACTCATTTTCAGCTGGCAGAGAACAGGCTTTTTTTTTTTTTTCCCTCTTCCTTCATCTACTCATAGACGCTCTGCTCTTAAGCACTCTTTAATGCACAGTGTAAAAAACCTGGGCTGCTGGTTAATTCACTCTAAATGTAATCTGATGTTGATTTTGTCAACTTTAATTACAGCTCCCAGAGACACTTCACATGGCGCTGCCTCTACTTCAAATTGATATTATGAATATGCAAATGTGGCAGTAATTTGCAGAGAGAAGTGGGTATTTCAGTTGAGCACACACTAGACAGGTCAATTCTACTGATGCTCTGTGGTGTTTTTTTTTTTCTTTTCCCTCCAGCTCACCACCCCCTCCTTACCCTTCTTCAGTGCGTGCTCTGGGAAGAAAAAAAAAAACCTCTATTTATCCTTGATCACAGCTCTGTAAATCGTTACTAAAACACATTTTCATCCTTGTGTGAATCGCATCGTGACAGTGTGCCGTGACATTGGTCCGTGAAATTTTAAATAATCCACCCTGTCATCTCCAGAAAATCAAATATACATCTAAAGTTTTTTTTTTCTTTTTATTGTCCTCTGTACCCTCCACCCGTCTGTCGGATCCTCCTTTTTCACGCTGTCTTTTTGTTGTGTGTTCTATTCTGTTCCCAGGCCCTACAAGCAGCGAGGCAATTACTCTTGCAGCAGCCAGGCAGTGGCCTGAAATCTCCAAAGAGCCAGGACAAACAGCGTCCACTGCAGGTAAAGCAGCTCCCCGTCTAATCTCTTAAGTCCATCCATAATACATGTTCCTGTGAAAAGAAGATTTCCTCTGCTCCACAAGTGTGTTTGGTTTTCCAACACAATCCGGGGGACCTGTCATTGGAATCCTAAAGCCGGGCCGAGCCCGGTCCCTGGGAAGCTAAGTGTCTCCAAGACGGCAGAAAAACACAACACGGCGACGTTAGGGTTTTGTCTTCACGCTGCTGTTCTTCCATTTTCATCAGTACAGAAGCACTTAATATTTGAACACCTTTCCTGGTTTGAACTGATCAACAATTACGCACAGCTGTGTCTTTTGTTTAGAGACTATGGTTTTAATCCATACGCTCCTCTCACAGTATCCATACTGTTGACACGCGGTATCTGGAGATTAGCTGTGATTTGAAACATCTGTCGGTGTCACTGCCGGCTTACGGCTAATTTTAACTAGCTGTCAATTTCGCTCTCCGACACTAATTTGGCCTATTGATTCCAGAGGCTGCCATTTTTGTTGTCAGTGATTCCGGAAAGGTCACACTTTTACCCACGCACACACACAGAAACAGTCGCATGCGTTCTACAGGCTCATATATATATATATATATATATGTATATATATATATATATATATGTATATATATATATATATATATGTATATATATATATATATATATATGTATATATATATATATATATATGTATATATATATATATATATATGTATATATATATATATATATATGCACATTAACACATTCCTTCTGCTTCCTCCTGCTGTGAACACACACTAACTCTTCTGCTCCTTTAAACCAACTAGACGTTCACTCACTTCTGCTGTCTTCACATTATGTAAGAGCCCCTTGACATTTGCTCTATGTTTTTATAAGTAGTGGTGTTTTTTTTTTCTTTTTTAGTCATTTGAAATGGAAGTGTAGGAGTTTGCGCCCTCCGCTCGGCTAATAAGTAATATCAAGGTGCAGCGGTTCACCTCATTAGAAGCTCCGCGCATTTCATTAATGACGAGGAAATTGGCGTTAACCTCACCCGTGGATATTTTCACAGTCTAACAATGGCGACGCCTTCAATTGGAGTCACACCCCTGTGTACCTCATTAGGCAGTGAGGAGATATGGTTGCAAAGACCGGGTCATGCAATTGCACACTTTCCATCAAAAGTAATAAAATAGGATTTGTCCTTTAGTTTATTTTATATTGGTTTCCCTTTTGTGTGGGAATTCCAAACACTCCTGTTTGAATGTGATGAAATTCAAAAAAAAAAGGTGGGGGAGATCCTGAAGGATCTAAGAGTAATTCATACATGACAGAAGGAACAATATTGGAAGAAGGCAGCGTAGGTGCACAGCTATCTGTCCGCACTATGCCTGTAATCACAACAGCAAACGGTAAATATTGAATATTTACACTTGCTTACTCCTCGCCTCAAGTTGGCGATATGAATTGGAGGAGCAATTGCAAAATGGGGTCCGTCCTCGGCTTCCACTCCAGCCGACTGTTGACCCGGGCTTTATAAACATTCATGACAACAACGCGTCATCTTTCGGTCTCTCTGCTCCGAAATGTTTCCACGCAGTACGTGGTAGAAGAGGCGCCGCTGTCAGAGAGATACTCGTCGGTTTAACTTGAACTGCAGTATTCTGTTGTGCAAATATCACGAGCAGGCAGTGGAAATTCTCACTTTATTAAAAAGCTTTGTTTTGCTATTTTTGTTTTTCTTTCTCTCCGCCTTGCCAGCTCGTTCGTCCGCCTTCTCCTACTCAATATAAATAAGTTTACCCAATAAAGCTGCATTATTTACCTGGATTATGAGGCCACAGTGAGCATTATCCTGCAACAGCGTTATTACCTTTGTTACAGATAAACGTCAAGGGGATTGAACCTGTGATGTTTATTTTCAACTGCAGGAATCACAAGAATTGATTCACATGTATGATTGGTGCAATAAAGAGGGACCGGAGGATTAATATGTCGCCATGACGCCCTGCTTATGACTCAGATGATCGTAAATCCTCTCGCAGCCTTTTTTTTTTTTTTCGTTTTTACCCACTCTCTTGTTTTCCAGTCTTGGATATTTAAGAGCAGGAAATGATCCATAGATCATGGTGTGTAAATTATTTAGTACACAAGCATCTAAGTGCCCCAGCTTGCGGTTTTTAATTACGCGTATTAGCAACTAAAGGCCCTCGCTTGACTAATTCTATCCGTTGGCTGACGTTGGTCCTGATGGAGTGGAGGCAGGCAGCCCTGGCATCAGCACGCATACACACACGTGGGCAAAGACAAACAGCCCACAAACACACATACAAACACACACACACACACACACACACACATGCGGCTTCACCACATTTGCGTAATGTGACAGGTCTATTATTACACAGTAAGCCCACGGGAGCACTCAATAAACACCTATTTCTCCCCGTAAATCCCCCTCTGCCTCCGCCATGCTGCTTACACGGCTCTCCTCTCCTCCGTTCTCCTCTCCGTGGCAATATACCCCCCCACTCCCACACCCCCCCACCCCTCTCTGAAAGGCATTTATACACTGACATTTGGAATACAAATAAAGAAACGCGGACAAGCAGAGGCAGAGAGGATTACAGGAGGCCTATGAATCTGACAGTTGTTTCGCAGACATGCGCGTAACGCATCTACACACCGACGTGAGCGCAGTGACACTTGATCAAAGTTCTCACATCGCCAGAAGTTACTTCCTGAGACTCGGTGGTGGTGAGCGGATTTGTTGATAGGTATTGTGTAGGAACAGAAATGTTGACGATGGCGAACACCGTAGTGGGTTCAAAAACGACCGAGAGAACGTCGACCCAGTTGTTTTAGATGAGGAATAATACGGTTCATTTAAAAATAAATGAGATTTCATACGACATTTGATCACAGACGTGAATCCGTGACACTGGCTATGGTTTGGCCAAGACAATATTGCAGTTCAATACAGGCTCATTGCTAAGGAAGACTCTTATTGAGCGCCGTCCTAAAATGAACCCCATTTCACTTCAACTTTCCTCAAAACGCAGCGTCGTGATTCACACACAGGACAAATAACCTCTGTTCCATATGTGCAACACAGCAGTCTACGTATGAATCAAAATATGCGGATATGTGGAGTTGTTCTTTCTACGCATGGATTAGGATTCCATTCAAATTCCTGCTTCTCCTTTTCCTGCTCAGACCTGCCACATCGGCTGTGGGCACTGGTCCGTTCCAGGAAGTGTCACACTTCTAAAGGTCAGGTCCACATATCTCGCCACTGAGCCAGCATTATCTCAATGGCAGTTCTCATCTGCTTATTGGCTTTCATCTGGAAAAGCATGCACCCGGGGAGGCAAGGGAAAAGGGCTGCGGTGCAAGGCTTGAATACACCTTTGGAGTGTACGACTAAAGGAAAGGCAGCTCACATTTACATTTATGAATATATCCTTTGCTCTGCGTCCCCTCTGGTTGGATCTGAAAACATACAAAAAAAAAAAAGGAATGATCACAGCAAAGGTGGAAAAAAAGAAAGGGGGGAGATATTATGTTATTCATGAGCAAAACTTCTGTTGACTCTGAGAGTAAAAAAGAAAAAAAATGTCAGCACATTTTAAGTCAAACACCCTTGGTTACTGCTTTTGTCACCCCCCTCCAAAAAACCAGAGGTTTTTTTTTTTTTTTCCTTTTCAATCCCCCATCTCGCTCCCTCCCTTCTTCTCTTCCCCCCCCTGCTGCATTTGCAACACCTACAGGACAAGATTGCTAAATTGCGAGGACAGAGCAGGTTCATCATTGTGATGCAAAAGAAGTTGAAATGCAACCCCAAGGCGAAGCAGCCAGAGTTTGGTGGGGGATCAAGAGAAAGTGAGCGGGAGGAAGTGCAGGGGGGGGGCGGGGGGAGTATCTTAGACCTTTGATGTAGCAGCAACAAATTTACCTCGTGACAGAAGATACATGGTTGCAATAAACGAGTTATACAAGCCCTTACACATGCAATCTGATGATTCTGACCAGGGTGTTAATTGGATCCTAACTGGCAGATCTGATACGCCCGGGCCCCGGTGGTGGTGATCAGGAAAGGCTTTCCAAGTGATGAACTATGATTCACTGAGCTGCTTGAAGCACTTGTAATTTACTGTGTGTCACTGATCAAGAGGCTGATCCAGCGGAGGCCACATTACCTGCAACATCAGAGAGAAGTGCCCCCACCTCTCTGTGGAGACGCACTCTCATCCCATTCTACCACTCCACTCCCTGGACTTTCCTCTTTTTAATTCTCACTTTCCTTCCTCGACTCCCACTCCACACCTGCAGGGATGCATCGGCAGAGGGAAGATTATTAATAAAGGGCGTTTCTTTTTTAGCAGTGTGTGCTGATAATGACAACAAAACAATGTTGTACAAGCAGTGTCACCACCAGTACACTGATGTACCCCACGATGGAGGGGCTTAATCAATGACTATATCTGCATGCGGAGATAAATCAATATGGAAATCGTGCTAAGCCCCTCTCAATCTCCTTAGGCTTTTTATTAGTGACTTTTACATGATGGGTCTTTATGTAATGATAAATCGCACTGCTTCCACTCTGCACTGAAAATTGATTTCGGGAAAACATTTAATAATCTACTTAGATTCAGTCATGACAATCCCGAGTATTGATCTTCCTCCCCAAGCCCAAAAAACCTTGACATGCCTCGGAGGGAGTACGGCTCCCAACGCAGACATCTGTCATTTCTGTCTTCAACTGGAGACTCCTGGCTATCAATAACCACATGGTCACAATTGACTCTAATTGGCTGGGGAGAGCTGAGAGGTCGCCAACAACAAGGGAGGCTGTAGGTTTGGGAGTAGTCCGTTCCTGGGACGCCTAAGAGATTGAGGTGGAATAAGGGAATGGGTACGTGGATGGCACTGGTTTCTCCTCCTCCTCCTCCTCCTCCTCCCTCTTTCTGTCTTAAGTGTGATGTGAAGCTTGTGACTTAATTAGCAGTGACTTCCTCTGCCAGGGAATCACTGTAATTACCAACTTACTGGAGCTTAATCCACTCCGCAGCCGTTCACCGACGCGTCCGATACGTAGCACTGTTTGGAAGAGGAATTCCTCGTAACTTGTCTGTTTCTGAACAGTTGTGATGAGGAGTTTTTTTGGATGACTGATGCCTGTGTTAATAATATAGGACAGTGTTTTTGTCAACCTTGGGGTTGTGACCCTAGGTGGGGTCGCTTAAAATAAAATATCGCTTTGTACACTAATCTGGCTAGAACACAAATTAACAAAGATGAATAAAACAATAATTCTAGGAAAAGGAAAAATGTCTCTGCGGACACAAGATATTTGTGATGAAAAATGGGGTCACAAGCCAAAATGGCACATTCACATACAGTATAGGGTCATGTCTGATTTTTTAAGGATGGACAGATGAGATGATTGACGTGTTTGTCTAATGCTACACACCTGAGCAGACAGTGGTTTTTGCTCGAAGGGGAGGAACAAGCAGTGATCATGAAGGTTACTCTGCTGACACGCTGTGGTGGAGAGTTTATCGTGGTATCAGTTCGATTTTAATAAGGGCCAGACAGTTGTGCGGGTAATTCACCTACACAACAAGCGCCATCTTCGTCATTTCCCTGCCGAGGAGCTTGACCTTTCGTAAGGAGTAAGAGAAGCTGGTTACAGGCGGCGAGTGTGACAAGAGTGGTGTAATGATCTCCTTGTTTGTGGTGCGGCCTCTCCAGTGTTTTCACATAAGGAGCCAATTTAAAGGTGTTTTGTTTTTCTTTTTTTTTTTCTTTTTTTTTTTTTTTCCCCCAAACCGCAGGGCCAACCACACGGCTTTAAAGTTCATGTCAACATAGATCATCGTTCACTTTAGCTGCAGGTACATAAATAAACAGGGGTTCAAATACTGTGCAAATTCCCTAGACGTAATAGTCACATTAAAATCTAATGTAAGAATATATTTGCACTTGATGTCTATAAATCATTCAAATTAGTCCAATAGTAAGTCAAACTTAGTAATAAAGAATTAAAATAAACCTTATGCAAAAAAAAAAAAAAATCATCCTCTTCTTAGCCATAAATCTTTGTAGATATTAGAGGAACAAAGGTAAACCCCATTGGATATCACGGCTCCACCTCTGTGTGTCTGAGTGCGATTCTGTTCACGTGTGTGGATGTTTATGCCACCGCCATCATCTAGTAAATGTTCATTAATTTCATCCCTTCATGGCAAAATCATTTGGAGGAGAGGCAATTCAGCCTCCTGTTCCTTTCAATTCACCGCTCACGTCAATCAAGCCCTGATGCAGTTTCCTGCAGAATGGAGGTGTTATATTCCTGCAATTATCATGTCATATACTCGAAAATGTAAATGAACGTGTGTGTAAAATTAAATTTATGGGTTGTCAGTGAAGAAAAAGAACCAGGAGAGCAATTACTTATCTGCTTTCATCTCGGCGCCTCTGATACGTCAAGCAGAAAAGCATGCAGTTAAATGCTGGAATTAGCATTATGCTGCACTTCACAATGGACGTGGGCCACTGCCTTTTCTCCTCTCTCCTTCTTTCACCTGCCTTTTCTCTGTTCTTCTTTATGTTCAGGGCGGTCGGCTTGTAGGATATTTTTACTTGTTTAGATTTGACGAGTGGTTTAAAAGTAAAAACCTCGCATGTAGCTGTTTGTTCCTTTGGACTCTTGGAACACTGTGTCTGTAGATGCTTTTATTTTGGCACTTTCACAAAGGAGGAACTGTTTTTAGAACGTTCACTTCAGCTCATCTCCGCATATGGACGCGCGTGCATTCGTGCCCTAATCCTCCACATACAATTCCTGCATTTCTTTGTGAACCCAAACATCTTTGAGCCAGAATCCAATTAATAGTCTTAATGAGTGCATCTCTCATGTTGTTTCTCAGCTCCACTCGGCCCCATTGTCATGGCATCCAACACAAAACCAGGAGTGACTGCAGGGGTAATTACTTACCTAGCAAACGTAGCTTCAAGGGTTAATAACATTGAAGGTGTAAGCACGGCATTTGCATAATTACACACAGACTGTTTAATTTGCAACTTTTGACGGCCTTTGTTCATCACTTCACTTATTGTGAATGCATTTTCTTCTTCACTAACGCTGCCTCTCGTTGCGGGAGCGTTGAGGAGAAAAGAGATGTACCACAACATCCTCCTCCTCTTCCTCCTCCTACTCCTCCTCCTCCAGCAGCTCCTCCTCCTACTCCTCCTCCTCCTCCAGCAGGTTGTCCACCTTAGACGGAGTCCCTTCTCTTTAAGACCCTAATGAACAATAGAGGCAGGATTTGTTTGAATATGAATATGAATGTGCAGCAGGGGCCGGCTGGAAGTTGACCTTCAGCTGTGATTTTCAGTTCATCAGGATTAGTCAAGGCGGGCGATCAGGAGCCACTAATGCATAATGACTTCTAAAATGAAAAATGTGTAGTGACCATGCAAATGTCTCAGCTAATCAAAGAGGGGGGGTGGGGGGAGGTTGGCTGGGTTGGAGGGGAGGCATTGAGGAGAGGAGAGCTAAACAAGGACGTGTCAAGGCCTGACAGAGAGAGAAAGAAAAAAAAAAGGAAAGAGAGAGGGAGAGAAGGAGGAAGGGAGACGGGGACATGCATGGAAAGTAATCAAGGCAGCTTGATTAGCTGGCGATGAGGACAGGGATGTCTTATTGGCCCCCTGACACACCATATAGGCTAGTTACTGTCATGGCAGCTCAGTGCCAAACACCGCCAGCAATTAGTGTCAGTGAAGGTGTTACTACATGTCGACATTTTAATTGTGTTATAGCAGCGTATAGCTTGTCTATCAGGAAAAAAAAATGTCGATATGATGAAAAATATCCAATGAGTATTTTGTTTTGCCGCAGGCATCAAACTATTATGTTACATTTTAAAGGTCACACAGGAGAGAATCAGCAAGTCTCTGCGAGCAAGTCTTTTTTTTTTCAAGTCAAGTGTTTGTAGTGAAGCCAAGTCAAGTCTTTTTTACTCAAGTCACAATCAAGTCTCAAGTGTTTGTAATCAAATCTATATCAAGTCTCACGTCTTTTTACTCAAACCCAAGTCAAGTCAAGAGTCTTTGTGCTCAAGTCCAAATCAAGTCTTTTGTGTCAAGTCTCAAGTCCAAATGACTTGAGACTTGTGCTAAATCATTAACTAAGTGTTGACTCTGTTTTCTCTTTTTATTCAGAGGTAAACAAAACAGAGACTTTTTCCTTCCGTACCACTATAATGTTGTTCAGTCTAATCAGCCCCAATGGTCTGGAAATTTACAACACACTTCGTCTAAGCTAAAACTCCCCTGTTAAAACGTGTGCTCACAAACAAAGACGGAGCAGAAACGTATCGTTGTGTACTGATCTCATGCCTCACAAGTGGCTGTCGCTGCTATCCTTAAAACTAAAACTGAGATGTTGTTTTGTGCTGTGTTTGTGCTGTTCTTTTTCTGCAGTTTGTCAGATTTGAATAATTATCACCTATAAATGATTGTTTTGTTTTTGCCACAGTTGCTTATGCAAAACCTTAAAAAAACGAAGAAATAATTCTTTTTTTTTCTTTTAACTCTTAAAGCTAAGTAATTAGGCTCAGGCTGAACCATCATGAGTCCACTTCACCAGTGAAAAGCCTTCGTTTAAGTTGTCAGTTTTCACGACTGTTTTGTTTCGTAGCCATGCTAAGATGGGGGGTGAGAGGGGCGGGAGTTCAAGGGGTCATGCTAATTAAGGTCTACGTCTATTTAAATCCTTCCCTTACTTTTCCCGGCGGGTCGGAAGCAGGAAAATAACATTAGCAACAAAAAGACACGGCACCCATCTGTCCTTCAACGTCTCCTCTAGGCCGCTTAAGGGACGTGACCACTGGAGACCTCTCTCCTCTTCTCAGTCATCAATTACCACACTCCCTGTAGATGCACGCCAATAAGGCTGCGGCACATCTCTGATGTTCTATTTATACATCAACTCAACTCTTCTTTCCCCACCCCCCCACCCCCCGTCTCCCCTTTTTCCTGCCCTGTCCAGGTTCCAGTGTCGGTGGCCATGATGAGTCCCCAGGTGATCACGCCGCAACAGATGCAGCAGATCCTCCAGCAGCAGGTGCTTTCCCCTCAGCAGCTCCAGGCCCTGCTCCAGCAGCAGCAGGCTGTTATGCTACAGCAGGTTGGTTATACACTCAACACCTGTCAATCCTGTTTGTTTTTTTAACAAACAAAAAAAAATCAAGAGTTCTGGTTTTGGAGATGAACCCTCACCGCAGCCCAGCGTCCTTGACATTCTCACTGTGAGCTCCTGCTCGAGTCACCTCTAATTAACTGTACCTCGCGTCCGATTGGTCCAATTTCCTGACAAGCGTCCATCAGGGACTCATGGGAGAGTAGGGCACAATCGGATCGAACAATGAAAGCTGAATGACGGGTAATAGATGATGTAATATTTGGAGCCGTCTTCTGTCAGAGACGAAGTACATTTCTCACTCATGGATATCATTGAAAAAAAAAGAGAGAATTGTTTAATTAACAAAGCTCACACTCTCGTCTCAGTGGCTTTTGTCCTTTAAAAATGTTTAAATCCTTTTAAAGAACTGTTTTGTCTGCTGTAGTACAAATCTTTCTGAAAAGGGATTTTTTTTCAGAAAGATTTCTAATAAAAGCAGGACATTTAATCAAATGATGAATCGTAGCATCTTTTAACTGAAAGCAAACATTTAAAAATGGTCTCGATAGACATGCAGGAAAGGATGAAAATGTTTTCATTGTTCATTCATTCAAAGTTACATTCACAAAAAAACATGTTTGAAAATGATAATATTTAGTATAGGATTGTGCAAATATTCATTTATTACCTCGACTTAATTGTTTTTTTTTTTTTTTTTTTTTTTTTTTTTCTGTGTTTTTTCTGTGGTGCGTGCACAGCAACACCTGCAGGAGTTCTATAAGAAACAGCAGGAGCAGCTTCATCTGCAGCTTCTCCAGCAACAGCATCCTGGCAAACAGGTGAAAGAGGTAAGAGCTTCCACACACACACACACACACACACACACACACACACGCACGCTCTCATCTACACCAACTGACATCAACCATTACGGACGGACGAGACGAGGGTGTAGCAAACTTCATCGCTCTCGATGGACGGACGAGACGAGGGTGTAGCAAACCTCATCGGTCTCGATCTGTGAACTACTGTATTTGGTAATCCCATTCTAAAAGATACACCTGTGACTGGACAGTTGGAACACACTGTGTTGTGTTCACTGACACTTTTATGAATGGAGAGCAGAAACGGAGGTTGCCGACTCCAACTCGTTAATGAAGCGTTCGAGTGCGGACCCGCAAACATACACACAAACACACCCATGCACGCACAGACGCACGCCAGCCAGCGCTTAAGTTACAGTACACGACACTCATAAATCACCGTGACAGGCAGACAGCGGACAGACAGCGGCTCTGTCCCGCTCTCGCCGGCTCTCAGGGAAACGGAGAGAGAGAGAGAGAGAGAGACGCTCGTGAAAACCTCCGCCGCATTTGCATAACCAGGGGGTCGGTGGTGAACCCTGAGAGCCAGTCTGGAGGCACATCCAGACAGTGCTGTACGTGCAGGAGCAGTTAAATTGATCAGGAAAAAAAAAAAGAAGATATCACACAAAGTCTGTCCTTTCTTTCTTTTTTTTTTTTTTTTTTTCCTCCATGTGTTGCATGTTTTGTCTCCTCGAGCAGCCCATTATGCTGCCCCTCCAGGAAGCCGCAACTGACCTCCCGGCGGCTTTGTTTCTGTTTGGATTTGTGAATCGAGTTTTTCAGGGGCCCCCACCATCAAATATGGAATAGAAATTGCTCCCTTATTTCTCTTGAGGCGGGATGGAGGCGTAGGGAGGGCAAACTGCCTCTCTCCATCACTCCATTATGCAGCCTGTTTTCCAGTGAGTGCATCACAAGTTTTGCCCCCCCCCCTCCTCCACCCTCCTCCTCCTCCACAGCAGACTCTCGGTGTGTTCTGAACATACAGAAACATATGTGCACGACACGCTGGCTGCACCTACAGTACACATGTACACGGAGAGCGGAGGAAAATTGAAAAACCATCAGGAATAGAGTTTAAACATTATCCATGCACATCCATCATGGATCCTATTATTGCTGCAGTTTTTTTAGTTTTTTTTTTTGCTGTGTTTTATAGTTTATAGCAGACATTTGTCACATACAACTGCTTTGCAGCTCCAGCCTTTTGTATTTTTTTCTCTGTCACCGTCTTGCTGTCGGGCCGTTGTTTCTCTGACTGAGCTTGAAGTCTGTTCTGTTGTCGGTTTGCTTTTTTTATTTTATTTCATTTATTTATTTATTTGTTGTTTTGTTTTGTTTTTGTTTTTTTGCAGCAGGCTTATGCAACTGTCTGTCTGTGTCCCAGCAATAAACTAAACTACTCTGCGAGTCGGAGAGAAAAAGAAGGAACAGGGTCAAGAGGGAGGAGGGGCCACATGTGTGTGTGTGTTTATTTTGTGACGCTGTAAATCTCTTTTTCTGCCCGCTCCCTCTGGCCACATAAGCTATAACAAAACCATCAGTGAAGCCGAGACAATTAACTATAAAAAAAAAATAGAGAGCGGAGGATTATACCACAGGCTTAGTATCACACACACAATCACCAGCAACAAACGCTGCCAGGTTTAGAGAGGAAGTTTATAAGCACAGGATTGTGTGTGTGTGTGTGTGTGTGCTCGGACACACACACATACTGTACGTACGGATGAAAAGGAAGCCCTGCTGTGGTACAGCCTGAAAATCAGAAAAGAAGACAGAGCAGGCAGAGACAGAGACAGACAGACAGAGACAGGGAGACAGACAGAGACAGGCAGAGACAGGGAGACAGAGACAGACAGAGACAGACAGGCAGAGACAGACAGACAAACAGACAGACAGACAGAGACAGGCAGAGACAGGGAGACAGAGACAGACAGAGACAGACAGGCAGAGACAGACAGACAAACAGACAGACAGACAGAGACAGGGAGGGAAAGCTCAGGTCACGATGGAGGCGAGTGAGTGTGGACTTCGCTCACACAGACCAACAATGAACACAGCTACGGCTCCTCTCCTTCCCTCAGTTGTTAATTTCTCTGTAATTTCCCTCCCTCCTCTCCTCCTCTCCTCCTCTCCTCCTCTCCTTCTCTCTTCGCCTCCTCCTCTCTATAGCAACAGCAACAACAGCAGCAGCAGCAGCAGCTGGCCGCCCAGCAGCTCGTCTTCCAGCAGCAGCTCCTGCAGATGCAGCAGCTCCAGCAGCAGCAGCACCTGCTCAACATGCAGAGGCAGGGCCTGCTCTCCCTGCCCGGGCCCGCCCCCGGTCAGGCTGCCCTGCCCGGACAGACGCTGCCCCCTCAAGGTAAGACGGGGACGAAGGGTTAGGGCGGGTGAACTGAAGAGAGAGGGGAGAAGGGGGAAAGTGTCAGGCGTCGCAGCGTTTGTCCCGTGTGTGTGGTACTGTTCCCGGGTTCGTCTGTAGGTGGCTTTAAAACTAACTTTTGTCTCCGTCCAAGCTTTGCCTCCTCTGTTTGTCTGTCTCATTGGGATGCGCTCCTGTCCCTCCTAAGTGTGTGTTATCTTAAAGTATTATCATCTGTCTGCCTTTTTCTTATTGGTATGCTCTTCTGTCATCCACTTTCTCTCTAACTCTCTGTATTCTTATTTTGTTTTCTCCCTCCCTCTCTCTCCCTCCCTCTCTCTCTGTCCCTCTCTCACTCTGTCTGATTATAGCCTTCTTTATTTACCTTTTTTTTTCTCTCAGCTCTGCTTGTTGTTTTTTTTTCTCCCATTACTCCCCTCAACTCCCCCTTAATCTTCCCCTGGTTGTTGTTGTTTCTGTTTACTGCCTTGACTGAAACTATAAAGGCAAAAAAAATGGAAGTAAAAAGAGTGTTTGGGGAAAAAAACAAGCTCCATTTTTATTTTTTTTTTATCCAGAGCCAAGTAAACACTGTTGTTTGTTGTTTACCACCAAAATGGCGACGGGAGAGCAGAACACAACAGGCAGAGAGATTTCAGAGGGAAATCAAAGGAGTGAGTGTTGTCCAATTAGCTGCCGGGCTAGAAAACAAGCAGAAAGACAAATCTTGTTTATTTCAGAAACAGCATGCGCCGAATGGCTATAATCAATGTCCCCCCCCCCCCCCATCACCCCTCCTGTTTGATGGAACCACACAAATGTGTGAGACTAAAGTACATGAGTGAGAACTGTTACCAGGTGCTGTTGGTGGATCAGTGAGAGAAGACGGTCTGCCATCAGCTGTTTATTAATTAATCAAATAATATAATGAATGGATACACACTACTACAGGTACTGACACCTGTGGGTCATTAGAAGTACTGCATGGTGGCCAGGACTAACTTTGTGTCTTGACTTGACTTTACGGTGCTAAATAAACCAACTTGTTATTGCAAGTGGCTGCATCATACTGTATGGGACAGTGGTTTCTAAACTGGAGGGGCGTGGAGCTATTGAGGTGGTCAGAGCGGGGCAAATCACTTTCATTTTCAATGTTTTCTTTATTTTGTTCGACAGCGAGGAGCTTGCAGTTACTTAGCAAATAGAGTGTTTTAGTGGAAAAGTACTAGCTGTGAATGTGTCACTATTATTGGTCGGTCTCTGATCTAAGGAGTTCTTTCATGTAGAGCAGCCTGAGAAAAAAATAAAAATAAAAAATACAACAATATTTCACTACAAGTAATCTTGTCTCATCTTCTAAGTTCTCTCGTGTTTAATAATTTTCTGCTCTCTCCCTGATTTTTTTTTCCAGCTGGTCTCAGCCCAGCAGAGTTACAGCAGCTATGGAAGGACGTGACCGGAGGCGGCGGCGGAGGCGGCCACACGATGGAGGACAACGGCCACAAACACAGCAACAGTGGCACCGGCACCGGCGGCAATGGCGGCGGTGGAGGATTAGACCTCTCCACCAACAACTCTTCTTCAACTACCTCCTCCTCTAATCCCGCCAAAGCGTCACCTCCCATCTCTCACCATTCCATCGTCAACGGACAGTCCCCGGCCCTCAACCACAGAAGAGAGAGGGAGCGGGAACGGGAACGAGAGCGAGAGAGGTACACTCTAAGCTAACATTTCATGTACTGTGTTATGCTAAAAAAAAAAGAGAAGATGAAAAGTTTCCAGATACCTGTTTCCGTTGCTGTTCCTGCTCCAGGATCACGGAGATGTTGTTCTCTCATCCTTTGTGTTTGTCCTTGTTTGAAATAACAACTGCCACGGGGAGAACAACATGTTTGTTTATTTGTTCAATAGTTTATTAGTGTCTGTGCAGTATTAAAAACTCATCCTGTTCTCCCCCCGGGGGCCGCGTGTGCCATTGAACACACTTAGCTTGAATCAGAGATTTAAAAGCCTAGAAAGGAATACATGCAGGCAGACTTAAAACAAGCCTCTCCGGCAGGAAAGACAAGGTAACCTGCTCGTACATTAAGTATTTAGTACGTTTTTTTTCCTCTCTCTCTCTCTCTCTCTCGCTGTCTTTTTTTTTTCTTTACTCTTTTGAAAATTACTTGTCATGTAAACAGAATACACGATGCCTTGAGTGGCATTTCCAGGATGTTTATGCTTGTTATGGCGTCTTTCATAAATGCACCCAGCACCAAAACACCGAGTGTTCACATGGCTGCTTATGTCGCCCATGCATTATTTAAAGACTTTTCTTGGGCAATATTATAATAAGGACTAGGGTAGAGGGTGTGTTTCTGTGTGTATGCTGGGTAGAGACTCCGGGTAGAGAGGCACCGTAGGTGTAATTGGTTTGATGTAGACGCTATCTCTTCAGCACCGCTAAAAGACGACTTGAAAGGGAGAGCTTTAAAGGAATAGATGGAAGTGGAGGAGGAATAAGGACGAGGCCACTTTATCTGTCCACATCCCCGGGGGGACACGCGGCATCTCGTAATGATGGAAACAGGGAGTATCATCAGGGGCGCCGCTTACCAACATGCCACCAATCGATGACGGGAAAAAGCCCTGCTGTAAAACTTGGCGTGAGCAGCGATACCACAAACAGGAAATTGACCCCCGCACACACACACAAGCATGTGGGGACCTAACCTACGAGAAGACAAACACCGCACCACACAGCCATCGTCGTATTCTCCTGCAGAGACAGGGACACGCAGCGGTGCGAGGACTAAAGGTTAAACTGTCATCTTTAATTGGACGTGCTGTCGAGGCGGGGTCGTAACTTATTTGGGTGCCATTTGGAAGAAGAAAAAAAGCCTGTCCTCAGAGAACATAATTTACACACAGTATTTATCTCCTGATGAAAATTACACAGCTGTCTGGGTGTTTAATCTTTACTTTAAAAGTCCTGATGAAAATTACACAGCTGTCTGGATGTTTAATCTTTACTTCGTCACCAGTCCTCCTCCCTGTAACGATGGATTTTCAGCTGTGTGAAACTGAACACCTTAATGTTGTGTCTGAAAATGTTCCTCAAAAATCTGACCTGAGTTGACCAGTTCTCTGGTTGTAACCTCTTGTGTCCTGTGTGACCTAACCTTTCTTCTCTTCTTCTCTCCTTCTCCGCCTCTGTCCACAGTTCACTTCATGAAGAAAGCGGCGGGACCCACCCTCTGTACGGCCACGGCGTGTGTAAATGGCCCGGCTGCGAGAACATCTGTGAAGACTTTGGACAGTTCCTCAAGTAAGACATGAGTCAGATGTTGTTTTCCCGTAATAATTCCTGTGAGGAATGTTAAGTTGAACGATGTACTTCGAGCAATCAAGAGTCATCATCATCATCATCATCATCATTAAGGTGTAGCTAAATTAGTCAGTTACATACCAGGCATCCAACGAGAGCCAAAATATTAAGTCAACGTAATTAGGAAACACACACACACACACACACACAGGCTTCAAATAGAATAAAAAACATACACACACACACACACACAGACAGGCTTCAAATAGAATAAAAAAACATGGAACACTGAAGAGACAGCCATTGTAAATGAGAACAAAAACCTGACGGTTCGACCCAATTAATTTAGGATGACAGAAATACTGGTCGTGGTTATGTTATATCAGTGCACTATTCTCCAAATTTTTTTTGACTACAGGCAAAGGCTGTAAAAAAATATATATATATATGTCTATATATATACAGTATATATGTCATTGACTTTCATTGAGATTCCATTTTTGTAGTTTTTTCCTGTCGTACCGCTCTCTCTACTCTCTCAAAGAAGACATGGCTGCCTTTAAAAGATGACATTTTGACCTCCAGTTGACAGGGTTTAGACCTCAGAGCACGGCATTCCAACCAGTTCTAGTGCTTAACAAATCCTCCTTCCTGGAACAGGCTGATTAAAAAAAAAAAAAAGACGTCAAAAGCTAATGGCAACTCGCAAGGCCGCACACTTACCTCCACAACAAAGGCCGCCGTTCACTGTTGTCATGGTGCAGGCGCCAGAGCGAATGAACTCTTCATGCTCCATCAACAATTTAGTTAATTAGCTCATTTGTAATTGGCCGGCTTTGTTGCCAGGATGTTAGTGGGGAGACATCAAAGGAAGAAGGTGTTTGCAGTGCTGACGATTACAGGTTATCACATTGCCACTCAATAAGACTTTCCCTTCCTCTCTCTCTCTCTCACTCTCTGTTTCTGACTCTCGCTCTTCCTCGTTCCCTGCTCTTACACAGAGTAGAGAAAGAAATGGAAGGCTTCAATTTGAATATTCTAATTAGATTTGTAATTAAATGAGAAATAACGATCTAGTGAGTTTTTTTTTCTTTTTTCTAGAGCTGTAGTTGTCTGTGTGAACTGGCAGGGATTTTTGAAGTGGGGTTTGTTTCGGCTAGGTTCGGCAGTGGTGGCCTGGTTGCAGGTTCGAATCCACCAGCCTACTGAGGTGGACTGAGCATGGGCACCGTCCCCTCACACTGCTCCCCGGGCGCTGTTGACCTTGACTGTAGCTGGTGGTGGGTTAAATCCTGAGGTCACATTTCGTGGTGTTCGCTGCGTCACAACAACGACAACAACTCTCACTTTCACTTTGTTCCAAATCACCACCAGGGGTCCCGTTTTTGTACCGCAGTAGAGTAACTGCTCTCCGTGAAGTGTGGGGGTGTCGGAAGATGTAGGTCAAACATGATTCCACATCAGTTCATGAATTTAGGCTTCAGAGGTGTGTGTGTGTGTGAGGATGAAATGGTTTCTCTAAACCTAATGTTTACCAGTCTTCAGAGGCAGAGCCCGACAGTACGGCGGGCTGCGTTTCAATACGCTCTCAAGCCATGAAACGCAGTGAGCGGAAGTGTAACTGACAGCGATGGATTTTAAATGAATCCAAGGTGAATGTATATTACAACTATAGCCTGACAAGTGTGTTTGCTGATCCCCCCTGTGGAAGGAAAAAATAAATGCGACATACATGTTAATGTCAATATCAATTTCTCAACACATCCAAAGGTTTTTTTTTTTTTTCCCTCTTCATGGAATGCCAGCTCGTGCAGGGTCCCGGGTCTAACCCGGACCACATGAGCGCTAGTCCAGGTAGAGTAGTTTGCCTTGCAGCTTGGGAACAGATGTGTGCGGAGGCAAGTGTGTGTCGGATTAGCAGCTTTTCTGATATCCTGTCCTGTCACCTTGTTACACTTACTTAAAGAAGACATCACTCTGAGCGGGAGCACTGTACTCCGTGTTCACACGCAAACACGCCTAAGTCTGTGTGCTCTTAGGATACTATCTGGGTGGCTTAGCTGGGTATTCAGGTGGGGGGAGGGGTATTGGGGGGAATTCAGTTAGCTAGAAAAACCAGAGCCAAAGGGCACGCGGTTCTGAAGATGAAGAAGTCACGAGGACGACAGAGACCCCTGAGAGGAAAGGTCTTTACTTCAAATGCGAAAAAACAAAAACCGTGGGTTAGCATCTGCTGCTGCGACAAAACGGGAACACTTCCTACATTTGCCACCGAGCCTACCTACACACCTCAGTAAGTCTCACACCAAGTCACAGGCCTCTATACAATAAACCAGGCGCCACATGAAAACAGACGGCAACAAAGAAGGCAAAGACTCGTCATCGGAACAAAGATGGCTGCTCGGCGCTGTGCCTCGGAGCGGTGATTGTCGGTGTCAGAGGGAGGCTTTTTATGTTTTCAGGAGATGCCAGCAGACTGCACACACACACACACACACACACACAGGTAGAGTTTAAACGGGGGTTACATAAAGCAGGTGTCAGATTCAGATGAGTGTTTAGATGTTGGCAGTTGGGTGCAGGTTCAAGTGCGGTGTAAAGGGAGGGGGCATCGACTTGAGCTCAAGGTTTTCTCTCTCCCTCTCTCTCTCCCTCTCTCTCCCTCTCTGTCTGAGCTCCAGCTCAGCTCAGCTCAGCTCAGCAGCCACGACACACTCAGTTGTCTGTTGTTTTGTTGTGCAGAAAAAAAAAGTTGTCAAGATCAGCATTTAACAGCTCTTTAGTCGCGTTTAGGTGTTCTCACACGGAGACGGTAGCCGCCAGGTGCCTGGCACCCTGAATTAGCTCTCTGAAGTTCAAAACCAAGTACAATTACAGGTGATGTTTTTTTGTGTGCTGTGTGTTCTCTGTGTGTGTGTGTGTGTGTGTGCGTCTCGTCATATGTCTGTGTGTCACAGATGAGAAGAAAAAAGCTACGATTGCACCTTCTTTTTCTTTTGAGCTATTTTTTGCCGCCGGCCTCAACTGTGAAAGGGGAAAAAACAAGAACAACAATTACGATTACCCAATCACGTTATATATTATTACTAGGTTTTCTTTATATATTTATATATATGTGCGTGATTGTAACTCTTTATACTATGTTGAATGGAAATTGATCAACATTGATGTCAATTCTCAGTTCAATTCTAAATCTGACTAGATTTGAACTTGAACTTTAAACTTAAAGTTAGACTTTAAGTTTACAGATTTGTTTCAATGGTAATGAATAAATATATATGAGGACCACTAATAGATTTTTTAAGTGATCTCTCTTCTACACAAAGCCTTCATCAGGCTACAAATTAACAGTTGTTTCCATCAGTTTACCAACACACACACACACACACACACACCCCTGGCTCTCCCGCTCTCTGTCAGCGCCGACACTCTCCTTATTAATGGCAGGGAAGCAGCCTCCATGTTCAAATGGCTAGCTCAGCTGCTAACCTGAACACTGGTGTCTGTAACCCACCACTAATTAAACCCACAAGGCAGCGGCACCAGTGTCTCCTCCTCTCCTCGTATGATGATGAGAGTGACATCGCAGGGTGATGATGATGGTGATGGTCGTGTTCCGGTTTACAGGATGCTGAGCTTTAACAATGACCCCCTCCCTCCCCCATACATGTCTGTTGCTCTGTGACGAGACCTTTAAGAACGGAGAGGGTATTACTCATGCACCGGCACCACAGGGAGAGCATGTGCACGTGTGTGTGTGTGTGTGTGTGTGTGTGTGTGTGCTTGTTTATACACACCAGTCAGTTGGTGTTTGTATGTAGCAACATATGGCGTTTGTGCGTCTGTGCTGCTTTTGTCTGATATCAGACTAAGCCACCGTCGGTGTGTGTGTGTGTTTGTGTGTGTGTGTGTCAGGTGGAGACAGTTCCGGGGCCTGATTTTGTGGCCCCTGATAATACACACACACACACACACACACAGACGATTAGCAGAAGTGCAGCATCCATGTAGGCTGGCTGCAGTAGATTTATTATTGGGCCCTGACTGAGCCTCGATGGTTTATACATATTCATACACACAGCTTTGGGGAAAGAGAAGAAAAGGAAGCAGTTTTTTCCTCTTAAATCAAGCTAAAAAAAACTTTATCTGTTTAAGAAACGTAAAAAAAAGTCTCTCCATTTATCAGTGTCTTGTGTCTTTCCGTTTGCCTTTATTTGCCTTGATGTCCCCGTCCTTTTGC